CCCCCCCCCCCCGCTCCGGGGCGTCGGGAGCATCATCTCCCCCCAGTTGCCCCCCCTCCGCTCCGGGGCGTCGGGAGCGTCATCCTCCCCCCAGCTCCTCCCCCCCGCCCCTGCGTCACCTGGCGGCTTCTCCCCACAGGTTTGGTTTCGCACGTTCAGCGGGAGGCACCGAGAGGGACGCGCTCCGAGCGCCCAGGGGCCTGGCGCTGCTCCCCGCGCCCGCGCATCTTTGAGGTCCCCCAGTGTAAGGTCGCCAGCTCCTCGCGTCGCGGGGGAGGTTGACCTCTCCTGCCCTTTGTTTTGTGGGCACATCTGTCCCCTCTCTGGGGCGTCTGGGGACCCTTCTGCAGTAGACCGACCTTTCCTTCATCCCCGCCCCTTCTCGGTTGTTTCCTGTCTCTGGCAAAGGATTTTTTTAAAAATTATGTTTACTTTTGATTGTGGTAAAACACACACACACATATAAAAGTTACCGTCTGGGGCACATCTAAGCGCACAGCTCAGAGGCGTTAGCACATTCACTCTGCGCAGAGCCACCACCGCCGTCCACCTTCAGGACTTTTCCATCTTTCCAAGCGGACACCGTCCCCATCAAACACCAACCCCCAGCCCCTGGAGCCCGCCGTCTACTTTCTGTCTGCGGATTTGACCGGGTGCCTCATACGTGTGGAGCCATACAGTGTGTGTCCTTTGTGACGGCTGGTTCCCCTCAGCGTCCTGTCCTCAAGGTCCACGTGTGTCTGAATGTCCTTCCTTTTTAAGGCTGAATAATATCCCATCGTCTGGATGGACCACGTTCCGCGTACCCATCGTCTACCAGTGGTCACTTATGTGGCTTCCACCTCTTGGCTGCCGTGAACACGGGTGTGCAAGCATCTCTCTGCCTTCAGTTCTGTGTGTCTACCCCGAGGTGGGGCTGGTGGATCCTCTGTGTCTGACTCAGGACCCTCCACGCTGTTTCCCACGGTGGCTGCACAAGCTTGCGTTCCCACCGACAGCATATGGGCCCCCTTCCTCCACACCCTCGCCAGCACTGGGTATTTTCAGTGTTTTTCTAAAAGTTTTTTTTATGTCTTTATTTCATTTTGAGAGACAGAGAGTGAGGAAGAGGAAGAGGGAGACAAAGAATCCAAAGCAGGCTACAGGCTCCGAGCTGTCAGCACAGAGTCTGATGTAGGGCTTGAACCCATGAACCGTGAGATCATGACCTGAGCCGAAGTCAGATGCCCAACCAACTGAGTGACCCAGGTGCCCCTCAGGTTTTTTGATAAGGCAATTCTACTGGGTGTGAGATGGTATCTCATTGTGGTTTTGATTCGTGTTTCCCTAATTAGGTGAAGCATCTTTTCATTTATCTAATGGCCATTTGAATATCTTCCTTGGAGAAATCTTTTCCATTTCTTTGGCAAAAGGTTTTTTTTATTATAAACTTTGCTTATTTAGAGAGAGAGGGAGAGAGAATCCCAAGCAGGATCCACGCTGTCAGTGCAGAGCCTGACATGGGGCTCAGTCTCACGAACCGTGAGATCATGACCTGAGCTGAAGTCAAAATTTGGAAGCTTAACTGACTGAGACAAAAGATTTTTATTATTTTTTTATTTAAAAAAAATTGTTAACGTTTATTCATTTTTGAGAGACAGAGACAGAGCATGAGCGGAGGAAGAGCAGAGAGAGAGCGAGACACAGAATCCGAAGCAGCTCCAGGCTCTGAGCTGTCAGCACAGAGCCCGACGCGGGGCTCGAACCCACGAACCGTGAGATCATGACCTGAGTTGAAGTCGGACGCTTAACCGACTGAGCCACCCAGATGCCCCGAGACACAAGATTTTTAAACGTTTCCCTCCCTCTCTTCCTCTCCCCCTTTCCCTCCTCCCCCTCCCCCCCCCCATAGCAGGCTGCTCATTGCTAAGCCAGAGGGGAGGACCAGAGGACACCTTCCAGAACTTTACTAGTGTCTCATCCCACCCTTCCCCTCGGCTGAACGACATAGTGACATTTCCAGAGCACAGTCAAGGAAGTACCCGAGATACATCTTAAACCGCCTTTTGAAACTTTTACATAAGCACTTGAAGTTCTTGGTGATTTGTAAGTGTTTTGCTTCCGTGTAAAGTCCCACAAAGGTGCACACGCACGCGTCTGCTCAAGGCCCTGACGAGTGTCCTTCCCGCCCTGGACGCGAGGACACCCAGGCCCGCCTGTCACAGGAGTGGGTGAGGCACGTCTGCGCAGCGGCTGCCCTCCGAGAACCCGTGTTCTCGGGCTGCTGGCAGGTGGGCCGACCCCACGCCAGGCACACAATAGGTGCTCAGTAAATGCTCATGAGGACCCTGGGGTGTGTGGGGGGGGCGTTGGAGGGGGGTGGGCAGGGGGCAAGGGCTGGAGCGTCCGAGCTCTGGCCCACGGCGCTCTCTCTCACCCCCAGGAGACAGATACTGGGTATTTAAGGACAATAACGTAGAGGAAGGATATCCGCGGCCCGTCTCAGACTTCGGCCTCCCGCCGGGCGGCGTCGACGCTGCCTTCTCCTGGGCCCACAATGACAAGACTTATTTCTTTAAGGACCAGCTGTACTGGCGCTTCGATGAGCACACACGGCGCATGGACCCCGGCCACCCTGCCCGGAGCCCCCCGTGGAGGGGCATCCCCAGCACGCTCGACGACGCCATGCGCTGGTCCGACGGTGAGCGCCGGGGCGCGGGGGGCGCGGGGGGCTGGTCGGGAGGACCCCGGAGCCGCTGCGCGCCTGGGCCTCCTGCTGCGACTCTGCGAGGCCCCGGGGCCCGGGGCGGCCGCCAGGCCTGCCCGGCGCTCACGCCGTCTCCCCCTCAGGTGCTGCCTACTTCTTCCGTGGCCAGGAGTACTGGAAGGTGCCCGACGGCGAGCCGGAGGCGGCGCCCGGGTACCCGCGGTCCACGGCGCGGGACTGGCTGCTCTGCGCCGACCCACAGGCGGGCCCGCGGGGCGCGGACGCGGAGGCCGGGGCCCACGCGCGGCCGGGACAGCGCGGCCACAGCCGCTCCGAGGACGGCTTCGAGGTCTGCTCCTGCACCTCGCCCGCCCCCCCGCGCCCCGCCGCCTCGGGCCCGCTGCTGGCGGCCGCGCCCCTGCTGCCGCTGCTGGCGCTGCGGCCGGCGGCCCGGGCCCCCCCGCTCTGACTGCCGCAGCCGGGGGGGCCCCCAGGGCGCGGCCGGGCCCGCACCCCGCCTGCGCCCGCCCCCCGCGGCTCCGAGGCAGGAGCAGCCGCCTGCCCTTCCGTTTCTGCCCTGACGTGGCCTGACGCCATCTGTGAGCCGAGCGGACTCCGCCGAGGCCCGGCTGGGGCGGAAACCATCCCTCGGAGCAAGCAGCCGATCACCCGGAACTCAAACACGAGCCAGGCGTCGCAGGGCTGGGGGGGGGGGGCGTTCGGCGGCCACACTGCCCCCAGCCCGCAGATGAGCCCCCCAGCTGGAGCCTCCTGAAGCATTTCAGAGAAACACGACCGCTCCCTGCTCTGTAACAGCTCAGCCTCGGCTCCCTGGTGCACTGCAGGCAGGAGCCGCAGGGTGGGGCCCTCCGGGGGGCTGTGCGGCCCTGGCGCCAGACCCATCTGCACTTTGGAGGGGCAGGGGCTTCCAGGAAGGCCCGTGGGCTGCTCACTCCGCCCGGGAGGTTCACCAACACCTTCCTGTCCAGCGCCTCCCCACCCTCGGTCCTTGTACCCATTTCACAGGTGGGGGAGCTGAGGCCCAGCCAGGGAAATGAGCCTGCTGCCAGCGGGCGGGGCCCGGGCACGGTCAGGTCTTGTAACCAAGGCTCTGGCACGTTTGGCCAGGGCTCACCGACGGAGCCCCTCCCTGCGTGCACGCACGGCTCAGAGCGGACGTGCAGAACGCGCCAGCACCCATTCTCGGTGAGGCATCCAGGATGCCAGCTGCCAAAACCAGGGAGCCTCCCAACAGGAAGTGCGGGGACGGCCCTCCCGCCCAGAGAGGCAGAGACCGCGCGCCGAACGAACGAACGCTGGGCCAGGAGAGGCGGCCTTTCCCTCGGCCCAGCCTCCCCGGCACTTGGCCTAGCCCCATCCCCCGCACCTAGCCCCCCACCCCGTGGCCTGGACCCCTGCCCTCGGCCTAGCCGCCGCCCCACCCCCAGCGGCTGAGACCCCTGCAGTCCTTTCTTTCCTCATGGAAGCCAGTGTCGCCCCAGGTGTTAGGTCCTGTCCAGGGAAGAGGGGCTCCTCTAGTCCCAGGGGCTCCCACCGGCCCTGAAGTGGGTGCCGGGAGGGCCTGCTGAGAGCACATGCGCCCCTACACAGCGCCGGCATCACCTGGACCGGGTGCACATGCAGGTCCCCGGCTCCGCCCCCGCAATCAGACCACTGCCCGTGGGCCCAGCCGTGTGTGCCCGTGTGCGTGTTGGCCCCCCGCCCCTGTAAGTCAGAAAGGCTGCCCGAGCCAGGACAGACAGAAACAAAGGCAGGCGCTGACTGCGCGGTCAGACGGAGGCCGAGGCGGAGGCAGGCCCGGGCGGGGAGTGCGGGAGGGCAGGGCCGCCCACGGGGTTCCCTCTGCACAACCCCACACCCTGGCTCTAGGGAGGGGCAGAGGCGTCCGCAGTCTCGGGAGAGCGCGGGCTCCTGTGGCCCCACGCCTGCACCCCTACCCCATCCCCGGCAGCAGAGGCAGGAGCTCACCCAGACCCGCGGATGCAGGGGTGCGGGGGTGCGAGGACACACCGCCCCCCTCACGGGGCCACGCGGGTCTGCATCCAGGTCCACGTGTGTGTCGTCTGGTCCTGGGAGCCGGGAGGCGCTCTGCCTGTCCAAGCGTCCTTCCCGGGGCAACAGGCTGCCTCCTGCCCACGGAGGAAGCCCCCCGGGGTCCCCCTTCACGTCCAGCAGCTCAGGGGGCGCCCGCCCTGGCCCCCAGGTGCACAGTGGCCCCGACGGGTCCGCAAGGCTCTCAGGGCGGCGGCGGTCTCACTGCTGTGTTAAAGCCAAATGCCCTGTGGTCAAACCCCCCACCAAGTCCGCGCCCGTGAGCAGAGGCAGCGGGAGTCGCCGGGCCGCTGCGCGCCTGGTCTGTGCGTTTGCGGAGAAGCACCATCTAGACGCCTGGTTGCTTCTGTTGACTTCGGGGTTTTCAGCCAGTCTCTGTTGTTACCCGGGCTGGGCCGGCCCTGCCTGGAGAACTGCCCCCCACCCCAGGCGAACAGCAGCCATGTGACAGACCCAGAGACCCCCTCAGGAAAGGTCAGAGCACTGGTGGGCCCGCTCACACGCCCGGCCCAGGTGCCATCGGCGTCCGCGTGACGACCGCATGAGCGTGGGCAGCAGGTTTTCAAAACACACCCACACAGGTGACTTGGGGGCCGGGACTCGTCTGCTCTGGCTCCCACCTTGCGGGTGGGGAACTGGTGCACAGGCTGCGCCCGGGCTGTGTGGTGGGCGCTGCAGTGGCTCTGCCACGGCCCAGAGGCAGGTCTGCAGCCCGGTGCCCGTGAGGCGGCGCGTCCCAGCCTCATGCTCGCGGGAAAGAGCGAGTCCTGCTCTCCTCGTGGGGACACTGGTCCGACGGGGCCCACCTCTGTGACCTCCCCGTCCACTCTCAGCACCCAGATGCCACCCCACTGGGGGCGGGGCTTCACACGCGGACGCAGGCATCACGTGGAAACACACAGGAACGTAGGCCACACACCGAGGCCAGACCCCCACCTCAGCCACACCTCGCCCTCTCCGCCCACCTTTCCTGGGAACAGGTTGTGGGGCTTAGGGGGCTTTGGGGGACATGTCACCTCCAAGAATCATCACAGTCCTATGGTTCTGGCCGTGTTTTGCACTTTACAAATATAGACTCCTGTGGACCCTCTGGATGTCCTGAAGGGAGGGATGTGGTCGCGTTTGCTTTCGGAATGAGGAAGTCGGGGCTCGGGAAGGGCAGTGAGCTGCCAGGGAGCTGGGTTGCGCCTCTGAGAGGCCTGGGAACGCGGGAAACCAGGCGGCCGCGCTGGAAGCCGAGTTCCCGCCTGTGCTCTCCCCGTGTTGGGGCCGGTGGGTATGGGGAAGCCGCCCGATGCTGGCCCCAAACATGGTGAGAAGACATTGCCCCGTGGCTCTGGGGACTGAGCCAGCAGCGCTCAGGGGACACCCAGCTCCCAGGGAAGCCACAGGGCCCGTGTGCCTGCCCCCCTCCCCCCAGGATTTGGGCCCTTGCTGGCTCTGCTGTCCCTCCCTGAGCCTCCAAAGGAGGCAGGACCCTGGTGCTTCCGGAGAAATGAGAGAAGTGAGAGAGAGCCAAAGCAGACCGAGCCTGGCACCGGCTGCCCACTCTCCCCGGGCAGGACACCGTGACAGGTTGCCCAAAGCTCGTGGCTTACGGCAGCGATGCCTGTCTGCTCTTGCCCTGTGTCTGGATGTCACCTGGGCTTGGCCGAGGAGTTCTCCCCTGGCGGCTGTCGGGACTTGCGGCCAGGTGGCGGCCAGGGGCTGAGGGCGAGACCCCGAGAGTCGGGGCAAAGGGCGTCCCTGATGCAACTTTATCTTGCGGGCCAGTGGACTGGCTCCTGCCACGGTCTGCGGCGACTGAGCCACGGGAGGGGACAGACCCAACTCTCCAGGGCGGCCAAGTGCCCGTCCACATTCCCAGGAAACCACATGAGATTCAAAGTCTTGCCCTGCCCCCCTTGGAAGACCCGACCGGCCGCTCAGCTCCATCACGGGGAAATACCGGGCCCCGAGCTTCCCCAAGCCTGCCCCTCCCGGCACAGACGACAAGCCACCTTCCACGTACTCAGGAGACACCTCATCACCTTTTCTCTCAAACCTCCCACCAGGCCATGCACGGGCTTGGCTCCACTCTCCGCCCTTCGTGGAATGTTCCAGCAGCCTGACTGGTCCCCAGCACGGCACTGGCCCCGGCCTGGTGTGTTCTCACATGGCAGCCACAGGGGCCTGTGGAACACCCACCAGACCAGGCCCCCGCCCCCCAGGGTCCTCACGGTGGCTCTGTCCTCAGCGTCCCCTTCCCTTCCCGGGCTGCTCCAGCCTCACCCCAGACCAGCAGGCCAGCTCCTGCCTTGGCCTTCTGTGTGCAACTCTGTGACGTCACCTGCGTAGTCACGTCCCTCTGGCCCCCTCCCAGGGCGTCCCACCTGGGGCTGGCCGCTTGTCTGTCTTCCTACTAGACCCCGACCACTCGGCCTGTCTCCCCCACGCCGTGGCCCCGCGCCCAAAGCAGCGCCAGGGTCACCAGAGTTTGTTGAGTGAATGTACAAATGACAGGTACCGCCGGCCGACTCAGCGCATGCAGGGGTCCCTCTTCCCACCCGGCTGGGCCGTGGCTTCAACTTAATGAATTAATCATGTGCTCTGTCGTCCAGGGAGGGAAAGTGGGCGTCAGATACGCTGGGCGGCCCAGGCGTCACTGTGTTAAACCTGTGTGTCGATTGCGGCCGGGAGAGGTCTGCACCTTGCGTCGGGGTGGTGCGGGGTGCTGGGGGGGGGGGAGACAGCCGTCGTGGGGAAGGTAACACAGCGACTTCAGGAGCAGCACAGGGAGAGCAGGGAGGGGGCCGAGCTCAGGAGCACACGGCCCCCCACGGCCGCCTGCTGGCAGGCTTTCCTGGGACACGGTGATGACGTGATGATGCACTGAGGTGTGAAGGGGTGTGGAGGCTGCAACGCACCTGCTCTCCCAGCGAGGGGCACGGGCGGGGACGACGGCCACACGGGGCGGGGATTTGTCGTGAGGCTCGCCTCTCCTGCGCCCGCAGGTGTAGGAAAGCGGGGTGATCTGTGCACATCTGCGCGTCCCAGGCCGGCTGTGGCCTGGGGACATTGAACACGCTGCAAAGGGGACAGTGTGCTGGCCGTGTGCCAGAACCAGGCACGGGGCGCGTCCCAGGGGGAACAGGGCCCCCAGGGGTCTGCACCGGCCGCTGAGGCTGAGAGCTGCCGCACGGATGTCCTTGTGTGCTGGGATTGCGGCCCTGGGGCCGCCCCTCACCACCACCGGGAGGTGGCCAGGGTTACATCACCCAGGATGGCCCAGGAGCTCCAGGCTGCGGCGGTGTGGACCCTGATGCAATCCCTGCCAACCTGCTCAGCCTGGACTCTGCCCTTCCTGGGGACCGGCCTCCCGCTGCCCCACCCCCACGCGTCGCTCCGCCCCTGGGC